GTAATGCTAACTACTTATATCAAATGCTGAAAATTAATTAATTATGCAAATTAGGTAATTAATATGTACTGATATTACCATAAAAACTATCAGGTCTGTGCAGTGTCGTATGACATCTATGTACCAAGTTTCATTGAAATGTGATGATTAGTACTTGAGATATCAGTGGAAAAACCGAAAATTGACTAATCATTATGCAAATTAGGTAATTAGTATCCACGGATTATTACCAAAAACTAATCAAAACCTAGCATTAGTTCAGAGCATCTATGTACCAAGTTTCATCAAAATCCAATGAGTGGTTCTTTAGATATCAGTGGAACAGTCATAGAACAGCTAAAAATTAGCTAATTATCATGCAAATTAGGTAATTAACGAGCATGGATTTTTACCAAAACCTAATCAAATCTGCGCATTGGCCCAGAGCATCTATGCACCAAGTTTCATCAAAAACCGATGTATGGTTCTTGAGATAGCAGTGGAACAGTCGGACACACATACACACACACACACATACACACACACACACATACACACATACACACATACACACATACACACATACACACATACACACATACACACATACACACACACATACAGACACACTAACTGCAAAGACTCCCATTTTGTGCTTCGCACATGGGAGTCAAAAAATAAAAAAATGGGATCTCAGACAAACTACGATATGCTGAACAGTAATTCTTGGAAAGAATTTAGAATCACTCACATCTTTATGTTTATTAAAATGAATTCTTTGCTATGTAGGATGCCATTTGCACATCGCTAGAGGAATACAACGAACATATCGAAGCATTGAAAGAGGAAATGAATGAGGCAACAGATAGCGCTAAGGCCATCAGATCGGATATACAAGAAATGAGGAACAAGTTTGGCGTGGTCACTGCTCAGCAAAAGTGTTCAGCATGTACATTTCCGTTACTTACCAGAGGGTTTTATCTGTATCCATGCCAACACATGTTCCATGCCGACTGCCTCATTGCAGAAGTAAGTTGTCGATATTTTTTTTTCCCCTGTCGAATAAAGACTGTCAAAGACTCATTGATTTGGTGCTGTCTGTCGGCAAACCGATTAAAGTTTTAGATATGATGCAATTCTTTTCGTTTGGCGGCCATTTTTTACAAAGACACATAAATATAAATGTAAGTTTTTACTCACTTTTTCTTTGTGTTACGTTAATTAAGTTACCAGATTGCAAGCTGCCTTATCACAGTGGTTTGCTTATTTATTTTCCCCCATTGTTGGCCATTTTGATACGTACAGCATGTGACTATGAGTTTAGATGTGTTTCCATATTTTACTTAATATGCACATCAAGTATTATTAATTTAGAGATTTTACCAAATCTTTGAACATATTTACATGTATATGGAAAATAAAATTATGTTTTGATGTGATTAAACTGTAATAAG